TGACCGCGTCGCTTCAAAAGTGCAATTTGGCTTCTGTTACCAACCCCGCAATAACGGGAGGCTCAGGCTGAGGCTCATACCAGAATTACGTACTTGATCTGTTAATAGTTCAGGCCCGACCCAAGCGTCAGATAAACTGCGATTGTGGACGAACGAAATGCTGCTTTGATTTTACTGACCTTAAATAGAAGATTACCCCAAAATGAAATCATTTATCGTTGTGAAATACCATCAAAGTGGTACTCTTTCCTGCTTTTCGCAACAAATAAGATGAGCGGAGTTGCATGATTTTGTAGTTAAGGTATCCTTGATTTTTCTAGCAACATTGATTTTCCATTCTACAGCAAACCAGAATCGCTGGCAATAGTTACGGAATGCAGTTCTGATAAGCTTTCAAACTCAATAACAACATAAATAGCTATTAATGATAATTATTGTTATGTTATGTATCAAGCTGCACTAAATTCTCCTTCATCAAGTATCTGTCTATTTTTGTGCTTGTTATTCTTGGTTGAGGCTTTCTGACTCTTCCATCCGTTTGTCTCCGTTGTTTATCGTTCAAGCTTTTGAATCGTTGGATCTGAACACTTGTAACCAAATCTACTTGAATTAGGCTCGAGATTATTGTGAGTCATGCTCTCAGGCATATGCTTTAAGAGAACTAAAACGCACCGAGGTGCTCCAAGCAAGCTATCACAACGATCTTATTTGTAATCAGGAAAGACTCGTCTCTGGGAAGCAAATAAGAAAAATAGTCCATCAGCGTTCAAAATTTTTATTCAGAAATTTGATCATTGTAAAATGATTCAAATTCAGCGTTCAAATCGAATTTAATTAAATAATTGTAAATTATTTCGATGAACTGTTTTGTCATATTAGTGCAGTTTGAAACGAATACGTTCTCTAATTCCGATCTAGTCGAATAAAGTATGGGGCGTGAATTTTTTTGTTGTTTCCAATGTGATAAGAGCACTCGATCGTGTACCGTCGGCCACAAAGCATTTGATGCCGTTCACTACAGGTACAAGAGCACTTGATCTGACTATCAGAACGGACGCTGTTCTCGATCATGAGAAAAAATTCACTGAAGGTGAAAGGTTATATTCAGGGAACATCGCTCCTTTTAATCTTATTTGAAAGTCTTAGCGGTAGCTTTCAGGAAGAACAGTTGAAAATTTTTTTCAGTTAAAATCTTTGCGCCATCAGTCAGCAGAATAAATATTATTGTAAACGTTAGCATCGTTTACCCATTGCGGCAAACTGTTAACAGCCGTTAGACTTGTTTTTGTGATGATTCAATTGACCGAAGAATTGTTATTTTGGGTAGCGATGCGGAAGTACGAAGGCCGTTTAGTTAATTCATTTTGGGAAAGGATTTCGTATGGGGGGGGGGGGTTAGGCATTGTTTGTAATTGAGGATTAATGATCGGTATTTAAGTATTTAGGTAGTTAGACATTTGCTGTAGGTGTGTTCGAGATTTGTTTGTATATGCAGTCAAGTAAGTTTGCTTCTCTCGGCAATGCTAACAATAAACAAGAATGTATAGCGGGAATGAAACGACTTTGCTTTATGAATGTTGTTTACTTATTGTTAGGCAGGTTCGTTGCACTGCTTTCATCACTTCGTACGCATATTCCTTTACAATTTTATTATCGATTCTCTTCCATACTGAACGCTCTTTCATTTTTATTTATGATAAATATAGTTGGGTGTGTTTATCTGTGTAAAGTTTCGAAAAAATTCATAGCAGAATGAATATTTGCTTTTTTGAATTCACGCTATGGCAAGCCGTAATCGTTCACTTCATAAATGCTTTGTGGTCGCTATGCTTTCTTTTTGTTACTGATATTATTATTATGATCCATTCATAACTTCACGAGAGTTGAATTTTGTTCATGTCAAGCGTTATTGGATATTGAAGTCAGTTCTGAATCAACGCTTCTCTCTGCTGATAATCAGTCAGTGAGTTTCTAGTCGACGCCAACTAAATGTTAATCAACAATTCAAATATTTTATGATTGGTTTTTACCACTACTGAAAATGAATCATATAAAAACAGAACGCTATAACTGTCAGTCATCATTATCACTATCAGTGGTATTATTTGATAAGCATCCTCCCTCTCCATAATTCTTCAGCGTCCCTCGATAAAATGGAATATGATTCATTGTTATATTTATTGCGTCTTTATTCGTATATATTATTTGTCAAATCTGATGATCCCACTTATTGCTCGTTGAGTACCGCTGATATATAACAGTAATAATTTTTCCGATTGTGAGCATAACAGTGATAATAACTTTATTGATAATGACGATGTATGCTAGTTTTAAATTATGAGGGTGGNTGAGGGTGGATAGGTGGTGTGTGGGGGAGGGGGTGGGAATCGACTTGCGGTGAATTTAACTGTTTGGTGGGATTTGATGAGGTGTGATATTGACTTTAAGGGTACACGGTTTAACTTGTAAAATGGACTACTTGCTGAATGCGTACGTCTTCAAATATATTCCTTTCGAACTGTCAAAGGAAACTCAGATGTCGATAACGTCGAAAGCGATGGACGTTATTCGTGTTAGTTCATTTTAATATATTATAATAATTACTTTAAAAGTTATTACTGAGAATGCAGTAATGATAATGATGCAACAATAACAGTGCGTAGTAGTAACGATAATCTAATAATGAGTGCAATTTTCAACCTATCGCACATTTTTAATAGTTATGCTGCTTATTAAACTGCACCAAAAGGGGAGATTCATCTTGTTTTGTTTTGTTTTCATTTTGTACCGTGCATTTTTTGATATATTGTAACATTATTTTTGTACTAATGGAAGGTTTAAAAATTTTTTGTACGAATGTTAATTCATTTTTTAGATCGCTGATTGGTTTTGCAAGGCTCAAGATCCAAGAAAGCTGATCGATAATCATCCGAGTTTTATGATCGCTGAGGGCATCTTCCTACTGCTTTGTATTCTTACATTTTGTCACGGTATATTTTTCAAGTCATTGTTATCGTGTGGATCAACAATTTAATTAATCGTTTATTTCATCCGTTTAAATCCATTGACCGTCGTCGATTTTTTAAAAACTTTCAAATGATGTTCTTTATTTATATTTTACTGAACTGTAATTCCTCATTTTACTCGGAGTTCTTACTGTTAACTTTCTTTTGAATGTTATCAAACTAGGAATTTTTTGCGGAAACAATTCATGATGTTTATTTTCGGAATATCGAAAAATCATCATAAAATATTCTAGATATCAATCCCAAGTCAAATTATTTATTAATAAGTACGATTTTAGGAGATATTGGTGGTTAATTTTAAATTTTTCGAGAGGAATGGCCACGTTTTATACGTTTCTAATTTCTCGTATATTCCCATTCATGGGATACACGGCAAACGATACCGATTTTGAAATTTCAGCATATCGTCACGGAGGTCGTTATTTGTATACGTGGATCGGTACGACAATCACAGCAATCATTTGCGAGCATGTAAGATTTGTGGATGAAAAAGCAGATGTGATATGGCATGCACAGGGATTACTGACGTTTTGTGGAATGCGAACCCCCCTATACGCTATTTTTGGTCTATATCAAATGCTCATTTACACTGCATACGTTATCACCAAAAGGTTTCCATTCTGTCGTTGAAATTTTAAAAATTTCTTATCACTTTTGCACATGGTAAACAATAACTGAACAATTCGAAATGCATAAAATTTGAACATAATTACGAATTGTAATCGAAGACTGACCCAAAAATCACTTTATGCTACCGTCGTCGTTGACGAAATAAACTGTGAGGCAACTTTTTGAATGGAAAGATATCTAACTGCATAAATCATTGGAATTGTCAAGGTTATGCAGTGTAATTATAAAATTTCTTAATTCAAGGATGCGATTACCGCTTCTGGCCGAAGGAGTGTTATGTGGATTATTAATCGTTATAATTGATGTTCCTCTACATCTAGTTGGTGTGAAGTTGTTGTGGTGGCAATGGCGTGAAAATGATCCTACGATGTCTGAGCGGTTTGTGATATTAATATGACCATTATCATTATAATTCTTGTTATTATCATTTATTAGTATTGTCGTTGGAATCGTCTTCATGATGACGATGTTAATGATAATCACGCATAAGCATCTTGTGATGTAAGGTGATTACATTTAATATAATCACATACAATCATATAATCACATTACATAATTGCATCACCTCGTCATAACACACAATCATTACCTTTACATATCATCACCTTTATTATATTAAGGATTGTTATTATTCTTTATCAGTAATACTGTCATCATCATTATAGCTGTCGCTATATTTTATCAGTATCGTTCTTATTCTTATTACTCGAAAATTTCTGCAACAATATTCAGTGAAGACCTTTTGATTGTTGTCAAATACATATGTGTTTTTTATGAATTTCATTTGCTGTTTCATCTAATTGGTTTCTCAAAATTTCAACAGGGAAGTAATTTGGGCATCCAAAAGTGAAACTTTGATGAAAGTAGCGTAAAACTTGGGTGTAAAATGAGTATTGACTGAAATATCATCTCTGTTTTACCACTGAATTTTTCGTAATGAATCAAAATAGGTCACGACTTCAGTTGGCATTGTAATCATAGTAGCTGATGTTTCTATTTGAACTCAATGGCACGAAAGCCATTCAACTTCTCTGTTGCATTCATTTCGTTACGTGATTTATGAGTTCCATCGAATTCTATCAGACTATCGATGATACTTTCAGAATATATTCAGTGCCGTGGAATATGTTTCTATTCGATATGATTTTGGGCAATTGGTTCATGATGACAATGAACTTCTGCAGACGTCTACTTCTACCTCAGAAATACGATTGGAAGTTGTAAGTTTCTGATCATTTGTTCATTTTGTNCACATCATTATTTATTGCTTATATTATTTTTGTTAGAATCAGCAATAATGATGTGATTGACCTGGCAATTAATAATCACATTTCAAACACGCTCATCGCTAATATTCGAATTGTTATTTGACTGCGTTCTTCCTTTCAAATTATTCTGACCGGCTAATTCACTTGACGATAATTTGAGTAAGCAGTGAAACATAATCAGTCAGAATTCATTTTTTTGTTTTCTTGTTCTTTTCAGATTCGTTCGTGAATTTATGTGTGTTTTGATTGCTGTTGTCATTGCGTTGTGTATCGCTTTTGGGCACTTCATGGCAATTTTATATGTACTGCACGATTTCCTTCAGGTGCGTTGTTAATTTCATTATATTTGTGATTTTATTTTCCCTTCTATTATCCAATCAAATATGTTCGTTTTGTTTCATCCATGAAAACAATAACAGCTCAGGATATATGAGTATGTACCCATCTAGAGGCTGGCCGTTAGGGTTATAATTACGATTTAAATGTAAACTGTAAAATATTTCAATTGATTGCAATAACAAACAATGTCGTTTTCTTTCGAAAACAAAAAGTCTTAGTTGATCTTCAATCACTCGCTGAGTAATGTTATCTGATCGCTCTATTTAAACACTTTAAAAATTAATTTCAATTAGATATTTCATCAATATTTCATCAAAATTAAGTTTCATCGAAATATTTTCATTATGTTTGAAAAATTTGCAGATTTCGGTTTGTGTGCTGACATTAGTTGGGATGGCAAAGTGTGCGATTATCGTTTATGTTGCCGATAGACACAACAAAAATGCAGATGCACGCCCCACCCGAGGTACGTCTTCGTACACGTTTAAGCTGTTTCAGTACTCAAATGATGCGGAGGAATCGGTTTTCAATTCATCGCGTGGTTCTTGTTTGGTGAACCACTTGACTGATAGATTATTCAACCGTGTTAGTGACAGAAGGGTTTTGTGGAATTGAATAATGGATCGGATGTTTGATTCCGTTGAAATTTTGTAGTTTTACATTGATTCCGTTATAATTTTGCGGTCTTCACAGGAAACTTATCACAACAGCAATATCACTTATCATTGCGATCGATTCAGCCGTTGGAATGTGTTCTTTTAAAGCTATTATTTTCATTAATTTGGTAGTGTTAAGAATGAATAGCAGAGTAGTGCAAAGAAAGAGGTTTCAAGGTATGACGAGTTTGAACTGGGTGAGTGGAGTGTTCATTGTTGTTGGCATGAAGTGATTGTGTTTTAGGCGAAAAAAGATATTGGTTCGATGAGTTGGCGTGTGCGATCTTCATTCATTACTTGTTTTATATGCTACTGGTCATTGCAACGCGTCCTGAGAATGTGGTTTCTGAAGGTTTGCATCAACCGATTGGCCAGTGCAATATTACCGAAACGCTGAACAAACCTTTTGGAATGGTTATTTTTTGCATTTATTGTCGTCATTATTACTGTTATTGGTGGTTTCATTATTGAGATGCATAGGTTGCCAGCCTTTTGTCATTTCTGTTCGTTGAACGTGTGGCATTGATTCCATAAAGAGTAGCGTTATCTATGGGAAAGGGCTCATAACTTTCAAATTTCTTTTCTTAGTTTTGACTTTGAAGGTGCAAAAACGACAGAAATATATTTGTCGTTACGACGAACATTCGGACTATTTCGATTTTCATTGTTTGCCGAGTGGACGTGCACCGAAGCAGATTGATGATGGTCCATTGGAGTGGTACATTATATGTGGCACTCCATTCGCGAATCGTTTGGAATTCGCGGCTATTATTTGGTAATTTGTTACGCAGAGTATTTGGGAGCTTTATTTGTTGATTTTGATGTTTAATGAGTAACAGTTTGATCGTCATAATTAATCACTTCATACAGTAATATCAATGGTGATAGGAGTGTTGTTGAAGGAGTTGGTCGATATTAGCGATGATGTTGTTGTATGAGATCGGTGTACGTTCTGGAACGACGCCTATCGATCCTGTTGTGGTGAGCCCTTTGATTCTCAGTTTATCATATTAATTTGTTCAATAACCTCATAATTATGTGTAAACATTTTTCAGTCTGACACGAAACGTTCGTCAGTTCCCAGACACCGACCACTATCACATAAAATCACATCAATCGAACATCAACAATCGGATGAGTTGAGTGAATTGATTGATGATGCTGGCAAGGATAGTGCTGAGTCGATTAAAACAGATGACGAAGGGTCGAGATCGAGAAAGAGTTCGTCATCGAGAAACAGCAGTAAACCAATAGCGCAACGACGATCCTCATCGAGAGGAACAAAATCATCGAAGAGGTCCGAGATTCCAACACCGACACACGAGTTGCGTTCCAGAAAGAAGAAAGGCAGTGAATAGCCTCTGTCGTGACATCGTTCTGAACCGATGCTGCTCTTCACTTATAAACATCTATCTCACCTTTTGTTATCGCTTGTAACATCTCGTCGTTTATCATCGCTAATAAGTTGATATTGCTGCATGTAACTTGTCTAGCTTTACGTACGTACCTTTGCTTGAAAATGATCACTGGAAAGTTGTGCTCGAACGCACTGATATTTTCATTTTTATTATTATCTGTGTTTCATGCTCTTATTATACCTCTGAGTGTTTCGTTTACGTGAGTGAGTTCGTCGCTTGA